CCGCGTATAAACGAAATGGAGACGCATGCCAGCATCAAATGTTATTATGACTGTAGCCATTTATTATCACCAAGAGATGTGAGATAGTAATGGACGAGTATAGGCTAGTTTTAGAAGCACATAGTTTATGGCCGGTAAACCCAACAACGAGTTATTACAAAAATAATCCAGGAATGCATGGGGATATAATTTATCCTAAAATTGGTGTTGTGGCTGGAGGGGGGGGGGACTAAGCTCTAATGCTAGAGACACAACCCTAAGTTTTAAACCAGTTAAAAAAAAAAAACAACACAACGGTATGCCTTAGAAGGCACACAGAGAGGACCAATGTAACCGCGGCACTATGCCTTCTTAAAAACAGGAAAATTTCTGTGCTTTCGCGATTCATCCCAATCCCTCATCACCATTTTCACGCCCATCACTGAAGCAGAACGCCAGAGAGACTCCGTTAAAAACCGAATTCATCACTCTCGCCTGGAACAAACCTTGCTGCTTTGCCAGAAGGCGGCCCAGCACCCAGCCCCTGAACCTTTGACCCCCCTCCACGTCCACTCCAGCCCGAACTCTGTCTCCATACAACCCGGCCTTTGTGGCAAGAGAATCGCGAGCTGTGGTTGGCTCAACCTAAGCCTGCGTCATTCATCAGCTCGCCTACGATTGGTTGGCAGAGAGCACGCAGGCGCAAACGCCCCGCCTGGAGAGGCACAGGGAGATGGGTTGGCCGATCCTGCGACTAGACCTTTTCCCCATTGGTTGAAGCAGGGGTATCACGTGGTATTAGGCGGCTCTCTATTGGCTGGGCGTCATACCGTGGGGCCAGAGACGTGGTCTGGTTGGCTGGAAGGAATCCAAGCTTCCTACTCAATGCCCCAGCTGGCTGTTGCTGAGGTATCCCCGGTGTTTTTGGCTGCCTCACAGTACTCCGCTCTCCAGGTTTTTCCTGCGCCCGCAGCTGACAGGGCGTGGGAAGAGCTCGCCTTCAGTCCCGCGCGGAAGGTGGGCGGGGCTGGAAGGGAGGCGGATGGGATCCACGTCGACGTCGCTAGGCGTGAACCCTGCTTCCGTGGTGTCTGGCGGCCGCTGACTAGCTCCCCCAGTTGTGGGCCGGGGGTGCTTGTCACTTGTCCCTCATTGCTCTGGCGCTTAAAACAAACCTGCTTTTTCCTTATCCCGGGCAGAGGGCCAGAGGTGCTTCTTTTCCCCTTAAACAGAGCTTCATCTCAAAAGCCAAGCCCTCAGGAATACTGACAGTGGGTTGTGACTCTGCCCACGTCTTCCTTTCATTTCTTCCATTAGGTTGGTCTGGCTCCTGTAACGTCTTGGGTTAGCAAAAATCTGAGACTCCGGCAGGCGAACTGGGCATGCTCAGTACACAGGCCCCAGGGTCCGGTGGGGTGAGCGGGTGGGGTGGTGCTGAGCGGCCACGGTGCTTGTTTATTTAACCGCCGGCTGTAGCTTCCGCGCTGCGCAGAGCCTCCGGGGAGCCCGCGAGGCTGGTCGCCTAGGCGACGGAGG